ATGGCTTCTTCCAAACTCGGCCAAGTGTTAAGTGCTGCGATAAAACCTTCCATCGAAAATCCCTGTCTAGCTGGATTTCAGCTGGCGTTCCTGAAGGGGACCCACCTGCGGGCGTCCTTTTCATGAGGAAGGTGCGATCAATTCACCCTCAGCCCCTGTGCCATCAGCTTCTCTTAGTGGAGAAGCTGTGAGCAGTGTGGAGGTCAGTCGGACCGAGCTTGGAAAGAGCGGGCCACTAGCCCCGACTCTGTCATGCCAGCAGCTCTTTAAGTGGGTCATGTTTGTGCTTTTTGAGTATGACTACCCCGGTCAGTGCCCTCCGTGCCATTCTCTAACCTATTTTCTGGGGGGCATTTAAGAACTGAGCTTGCCATAGGAACTCGATTTCAGTAATCTCAAAGCCTGGACACTCAGCCTTAGTGTCCGAAGCCCTGATGTGGGGCGATGTGAGCACCTTCAAAGCCGGACCCCTCGGTGTTCTGAGGTTCACCACCTTTTCTCAGCCTCAGGTGTCTGACGCCGGAGTGTGGCATTTTCAGAGGTGTGTCATAACCAAGATTCACACACCTGTTTTCTAGGGACTGGAGTTTTATGCCTTGGAAACTACTTCAGTTTTTGGCAGGAGGTTATTTTTATCAAAGGTAAAACAAACTCTTTGTGGCCTATCCTAGGACGTTAGCCTTTGCCTTGGTGACACAGCAGGACTCTGGATAACAAGGACTGTCCCCATAACCCAGGCTCTGGCGAAATCAATTGCTGGATACTGCCCTGCGCTATCCAGGCAAGCAGGTAGCGTTTGTAGAAACTCCAAGTCTGGGAAAAGTTCTTTACCTTTTGTCTTCAATGCTCCTTCCTTTGTAGATATTCTCAAGGTAGGTTGATTGGGGTTGGCATTATCTACTAAAAATTCATCTTATTAGAAAATATAATATTTTATTTATTCTTCTTTTCATACTTTTTACCACCATCCTGTTTACACCCGCCTAGTAGTTTGAAAACACTGACGTTGCCCTTTCAAATCCAGCCCATGGCAAACGCGCTGCATTCCCCCAATCAACACATGCTCCTCCCAGCAGGTCAGAGTTGGGTCATTGTTTTGAAAGCACCAGTCCCAGTTTTACGCATTTGATGAGTCTTAGGTGATGCACACAGTGTCTCGGCAATTCAGGATGAGAGCTACACCTGTATGTGAATTTGTAACCACGTCTTAAATATTCAAGAAATGTTCCTGTTCTTTGTTTTCTTCAGGTCCACTTAAGTCAGATTCAGTGAAACTCTGCCATCCCCATGCCTGGGCACCATGAAGGTCAGGCCATTTGATGTCAGTCATTATTGGGACCTTAAATCAGTTCTATGAGGTAAATTAGTCTGCTCCAATTTTGTGAGTTAAATTAGTCTGCAGAAAATTTGTCAACTGTGACACATTGGGCTCCATAACCCTTCATTGCGGGAGCTGTCCTGTGCATTCTAGAATGTTTAGCAGCATCTCTGGCCTCCACCTACTAAACGCCAGTAGCAACTCCCCTGTTAGCGTGACAATCTAAATATCTCCAGAGTTTGCTAATGGGTCCTGGGACAAAATAAAATCATGGGGCTTTAAAAATAATTGATTGCTTATGAAACACAATTGGGTAATAATGATATATGGGTAACAGCATAAATATTGCAAAATATAACACTTTGGGATCATAATTTAATAATATATAACATAATAAAAAAGATATGTTATTAGTGTGATACCTTTATCATAATATTTTTCTGGTTTACTTTTCTGCAAATTCATTTATTAGATTACCGAATTTGTACTTTTAGCCCCTGCATTTTTCACTGATAAAATTGCAAGCGATATTAGTTGTTCATGGAAAATATAAGATTGCAAATAAGTTTTAATTTTGAGAAATATCTTTCTACTGATGCAGCAATTACTAAAGCTGTTAAGAGCATTTTATGGGCTATGAGGACATTGAGATAAATTTATGGTAAATTATTTAAAAATATACATTTTAGTACATCTAGAACTGATGATTCTGTGTACCATTTTTCTAAAAAGATTTAACTCTTTATACAAATCAGTTATGTGTTGTCTGAATTTATTTTTAAATATAAATTTATACAATGGCATTTTAATATTTCCTCTGATATTTCCTGTGATTTGAGGCGGTCATATAATAAACCCAAAGTGATTTCATGATTTGTATCTAATTCAAAATGCCTGTTTATATATTCTATCATTCTCTCTTCAATTACAAGGAAAACTAATTCTAAAATGGTCTCCTTCATTAATAATTGATTCACCCAAAAGCTTCATATGAAAATAGTGTATTATTCTGTCAAATGTGACAATGATTAAATTTAATTTCTATTTCTAATCTTGTGGATGTTTGTTTTGCAATGTTGCAACAGTTTTTAAAACCAGAGCTTCTAAGCTCTTTGAAGAATTCTAATAACTCCTTGATATGCTTGTAATAATTTACTGATAAAGTTTTCTGCCTGAGCACCAGCACTTCCTGCCGTGGTCCAGGGCGGGAGATTTGACTCGCGTGCAGATGCCCTCGGGGCAGCTCCGGGAACCCACGGCCGCGGGCCTCACCGGCGCCAGGCGCACCCCCTCGGGTGCTCCGCGTCCGGTCCGACCACACTCACAGAACACAGCCTCACACATGGAACTGAAGGTCTCCAGAGGCGACGCCAGAGCGCCAGGCGTAGCGGAGAGGAGGCCCGCTCCCGAGAGGAGGCCCGCTCCGGAGAGGAGGCCCGCTCCCGGAGAGGAGGCCCGCTCCCGAGAGGAGGCCCGCTCCGGAGGCCCGCTCCCGAGAGGAGGCCCGCTCCGGAGAGGAGGCCCGCTCCCGGAGAGGAGGCCCGCTCCCGAGAGGAGGCCCGCTCCCGGAGAGGAGGCCCGCTCCCGAGAGGAGGCCCGCTCCCGGAGAGGAGGCCCGCTCCCGGAGAGGAGGCCCGCTCCGGAGAGGAGGCCCGCTCCCGGAGAGGAGGCCCGCTCCGGAGAGGAGGCCCGCTCCGAGAGGAGGCCCGCTCCCGGAGAGGAGGCCCGCTCCCGAGAGGAGGCCCGCTCCGGAGAGGAGGCCCGCTCCCGAGAGGAGGAGGCCCGCTCCCGAGAGGAGGAGGCCCGCTCCGAGAGGAGGCCCGCTCCGAGAGGAGGCCCGCTCCCGAGAGGAGGAGGCCCGCTCCCGAGAGGAGGAGGCCCGCTCCCGAGAGGAGGAGGCCCGCTCCCGAGAGGAGGCCCGCTCCCGAGAGGAGGCCCGCTCCGAGAGGAGGCCCGCTCCGAGAGGAGGCCCGCTCCCGAGAGGAGGAGGCCCGCTCCCGAGAGGAGGCCCGCTCCCGAGAGGAGGAGGCCCGCTCCCGAGACGAGGCCCGCTCCCGAGAGGGCGGTGACGCCGCGTGCAGGCCCCGCGGCCGGGCGGGCGGAAGGGCTGCCACCGCGGGACGGATCCGGCCGCAAACCTGGGACGCAGTCGTGCCATGTTTCTCCACTGATTTAAGCCAACCCAGAGTCATTCAAACCCCTTTCTTCCCCATGTCAAAAGTTCAATCTGCAAACCGTCCTGGAGGCCTCCCCGCCGGAACGAAGGTCCGGAGTGCCAACGGCACAAAGCGCGGGCGCCGGCGCCCGACCCACCCGGCCCGGGGAGGTTCCGCCCGACCGAGCCGCGACCTGCAGCGGGGCGGCGCCTGCCCCCTCCCTCTCCCCGCGCCCGCAGCCCTCGGGAAGCGCGGGCTTCCAGGAAACAAGCCCGGAACGCGGGCGCCTGTTTCCTGTCCCGCAGCATGGCGGGCTCCCGCGGGCGTCTCCCAGCGCGTTTTGGAGTGGGAAGTTTGCGCGCGCGTGTGCTTGTGTGTGTGTTTGTGTGTGTGTGTGCGTGTGTGTGTTTGTGCGTGGGTGTGTTTGTGTGTGTGGGGATGTGTGTGTTTGTGTGTGTTTGTGCGTATGTGTGTTTGTGTGTGTTTGTATGTGTGTGTTTGTGTATGTGTGTGTTTGTGTGTGTGTTTGTGTGTGTTTGTGCGTGTGTGTGCATGTGTGTGTTTGTGCATGTGTTTTTGTGTTTGTGTGTTTGTGTTTGTGTGTGTGCGTGTGTGTGTGCGTGTGTGTTTGTGTGTGTGTTTGTGTGTGTGTGTGTGGGTGTGTGTGTGCGTGTGTGTTTGTGTGTGTGTGGGTGTGTGTGTGCGTGTGTGTTTGTGTGTGTGTGGGTGTGTGTGGCAGGGGATGTGGGCTGGGTCTGTAGGCTAGGAGGGGACACACGGAGAAGACAAACACTGAAACCCATTCTTCTAATCGACCGAGTGTCCCCGAGCACTGGTCCGTGGCAGCCCTCTAGTTCCAGGAATAGCCCGGCCCCACGCGCTGCCCATACCCGCGTCGTGGACGTGCTCATCGGGGCGGGAAGAAGGAGCGAGGAAGTAGGCGGAACACGCTGTGTGCTCAGGGAGAGTGTGGTCCAGAGAAGGAGAGCAGTGCAGGGGATGGGGCATGTCTGGGTGGGGGTGGCCTCTGCTGTGGGAGTCCTCGGGGCGCCAGCCACGGGCAGAGGGCAGAGGCCCGGGGCAGTCAGGGCAGAGGCCTGGGGCAGTCGGGGCAGAGGCCTGGGGCAGAGGCCTGGGCAGTTGGGGCAGAGGCCCGGGGCAGAGGCCCAGGGCAGAGGCCCGGGGCAGTCGGGGCAGAGGCCTAGGGCAGAGGCCCGGGGCAGAGGCCCGCCAGCGGAGGCTGTGGACGTAGCGAGCGCATGGGAGGAAGGGCGCAGACCGAATGGAGATGAGAGTGACCGTCATGAGCTGGGGAGCAGAGCTGTTGGCTGGTCGGCCATTCTAGCGCCTTGCCTTTCCCTGCGGCGGGTGAGAGGGCTCTGCAGGTCTGAGCAGAGGAGCGGCCCACAGGGGAGCCCTCTGGCTGTTGTGTCAGGGAGTCGTGCTGCACGGAAGGCCTTCAAGTGCCGTCCAGCTCCGCTCGCTGGCACGAGCTGGCCTTGGGAGCCTTTCTGGGTTTATTTTGAGGGCACACGGGGAGGACGGGAATGAGGTCCAGCTGGTGCGGCGTGACGGTTAACTTCTTGCTCTACTACCTGGGGGATATCTGTCTCCCTAAATGCCACAGATCCTGGTCCCTCAGGAATAACAGATGTTACTGCTGGAAGCCATCCCTGAGTCAGTCTACCATCTCCAGAAACCGACTTGCTGAAGCTGTGAACGGCAGTCCCAGAGCGCTGTCCTCCCATTGCTGGCCGCAAAGGCCATTTCTCCTCTCAGAGTGGCCGGGCGGTCAGGGGAGCTCCGCTTGATGGCGGGCGGTGTTGACTGGCACTTGGCGGGCGAGTGACCACTGCCGTGTAAATAATAGCAAGGACTCTTGGCTCAAGTTGGTTATGAAATCTGGAAAGGTCCTGCCCTGCTCAGCTATCAGCTATATAAAATCTGCTGGGTCAATTTGGAAAAGGCATTTGCCCCTGCTCCAAGCTGGCTTTATCATGAGAAATAGTCTCTGACTTTGAAGCAGGTCATGGACGGCCCACTTTTGGGGAGAGGTTAGTGTTTCTTATTTTATTTTTCCATTGAAACTAAGGCCAGCAAGCATTTCAGCTGACTTCATCACCTGTCTCCACAGTCATGCTTAATGAGTCATATCTCTATTCACGTCACTTGCTATAATGCACAGAATTATCTATGACCTGCCTCTTTCATCTAAGTGTAGACTTAAGGCTGTAGATTCAAAAAAATATGACCCAGGAATCTGACAGACTTTAATTCCAAAAAGGAGACTCTCGGATACTGCTGTTGTCCTCCCATGCAAGGAGCTCACTAAACAGTGTGCACACTACAGATGGAGACGTGTGGATTTCAGCGTCGCCCCTGCTCCTCCCCCCACACGTCTCTACACCACCTTTCCAATTTAACCGAGGAGAGAAGCAGCGAGACAGAGAGAGATTAGAACTGTCAGACCTTTAAAAAGGGAAGCACCCTGACAGACTAAAATGAAAAAATAAACCAAGACTTGTTACTGCTATAATTTCACTGAGGGTAGGTGTCTTGGTTTTTTCATTTGGTTGTTTTGCAAGCTTGGCATTATGGAAGAAAAATAGAATGTCAATAAATTCAACTTTGAACATCTATTCAATGAGTTATTTCCTAGTGGGAGGAAAAAAAATTGAAGCAGGCTAGGCAGTCTAAAGGGAAACCGTGTAAATGACTTGTAACTAAGAGGATATGACCCTCTGCATAATTCATAATCATTAGTCTAAGTGACACTTCTGCAGTCACTCTGCCAGAGCACTCTAATGTGGTGGGGCTGAAACCCAAACAGTCCACTCAGCAGCAGTCCCTGTGTGATCAGGTTTCTCTGAAAGACAACTCCCTGAGAGACTATATTTGGGCTGCAGGATTTTTATTTTTTTATTTTTTAAACAGAAGATGCTGGCTCAGCTTCATCATGTGTGCAATTTAAGGGTTGCTCAAGTGATTCTTTAAAACTGCATAAAAGCAATTCTGCTGTGCCTGGGAGACAGTATTGCTATAATGTTCTGTGCATACATCTGCATGATTTCTCAGAGCTAATTCAAATTTAATGCATTGGTAATTCCTTTTCTGCTGAAGCCACCCAGCAGTAATCTGAAGGTTACAGAATGATCTTCCAGCTCAAATAACACTTTTAGACTAGCATAAATGGAGAGGCAGGAATATAATGGGCAGAATTAGGCTTGCAATGATACATTCCACCCTCATTACCACTCTGAACGAGGCTGACCAGAGTTTAGAGTGTTTTTAGAAGGATAATCATAATAGAATTTTAATAAAACTGAGAGTCAAGCTATAGTAGTCTTTTATCAGAAATAGTGTAATAACCAAAATGACAGCATGTGAACAACTTAGAAAATATTTTCCTAGCAATTGAAAAGACCATTCTCAGGGTAAAATTAAGACTTTGATTAAAGCACTTAGAAGAACCAACTCACAAATCTTTTTGGCATCAGAGACTAATAATTTAGCTTGGTTGTCATAAAAATAGTGACATCCAACTAAAGTCCAGATGAATAATAAGAAAGTAAATTTGGGAGTATTTAAAAATTTTTTAGTACGCTTTTTTAAATTTTAGAACAAATTAGATTTTTAGAGAAAAATTATGATGATAGCACAAAGAATTCCCATAGACCCCCACATGTAGTCTTTCCAGTTATTAGCATTTTATATTACAATGGTACATTTGTCATAATAGATGAACCAATACTGATGCGTGATTATCAACTAAAGCCCTCACTTTATTCAGAATTCCTTAGTTTTTACCTGCTATCCTTTTTTCTGTTCCAGGATTTTATCTAAGAAATCACATAATACATATTTAGTTGTCATGTCTCCTTAGGCTCCTCTTCCCTGTGACAGATTTTCAAACTTTCCTTGTTTTGATGGCGTTGGCCATTTGAGGAGTACTGATCAAGTGCTTTGTAGACTGTCTCTCAGTTTGGGATTTGTCTGATGTTTTCCTCATGATTAGACAAGGTTATGGTTGTTGGAAGACCACAGAGGACAGTGCCATTCTCATCACATCATAGCAAGGGTTCATGCCACCACTGTGGATTCTCACTGTGAATATCAACCTTGACCACCTGGCTGGGGCAGTGCTTGTTAGTTTTGTTTGTTTGTTTGTTTCCCCTTTCCATCCTGTATCCATTGGAAAATGCTCACTGTCCAGCCCACACCTAAGGGGGGGTGGGTTGTGCTCCACCTCCTTGAGGGTGAAATATCTCCCTGAGTTACTTGGAATTCTTCCACACAGGGGTTAGTCTATTCTCCCCTATTTTCTTTCCAACCATTTATTTATATCAATATGGACTCGTGGATGTTTATTTTATACTTTGGGTTATAATCCAATACTATTTTACTTTATTGCCCAAATTGTTACAACTTTGGCCATTTGGGACTTTTTTAGTTGGTCTCTGAGTCCTTTTAATATGTCCCCATCATTGTGGTACTTTTTTCCTTCTTTCTTTAGCACTTTCTTACTTTCTGACACTACAAGATGATCCAGCTTAATTTTAGATGTTTCCTGCCCCAGTCCTAGGGCCAGTTACTTCTCCAAGGAAGTCTGGTTCCTTTAACTGGAGAAAGGGTTTAGAAAACAAGATCTGCCACTAGAGTGTCATCGCGTCTATGTTCTCTCAGCTGAGGGAGCAGAGAATACATGTGTGCAGACTAACCCATGTATATTTATGTATCTATAAATATTTCTCCATGTAACCATCTCTATCTGTAATAATCTAAACAGAAATTCACATATAGCTCCCAAATCTAATCCTCATGGATCATCGTAGATGCCTTTCTCCTTTCTGTAACTTTCCACTCCAGCAGTGAAACATTTGACTAATTTGGGAGCTCTTCCTTCCTTCCTTCCTTCCTTCCTTCCTTCCTTCCTTCCTTCCTTCCTCTTTCTTTCTTTCTTTCTTTCTCTGAGAGCTAGGTAACATAGTTAATAACTCAAAGTCTTTTCTATCAGACCTTCATCATAGAAGGTCTTCCTATTTCCTACTCAACAGGTTGACATCGCCCAGAAATATAAAGGCAGTTAGCTCATTGATGATTTCTGAAGTGATTCCTTGCTAAGGACTTAATAGGCATTTTCTTATCCTTAAATATGATTCCTTCAAGGTGTAAAAAATTATGAAAGAGATTGCTTGGCCATTTCGTGCTCTGTGGTGGTTAAAAAAAAGCATTTGGCTTCAAATGTTGGCAACCTAGTAAACATCATAGGAATAAAGTCAATAAAAGCTGTTCTTTCCTGAAACCAAATATTACTCATTGGCAGATGTTAATCTGTTAGTGAAAGGATTGCAACCGTAAGTGCTGGGGATCAAGGTCCTACTTAATACAAAAACCTGACATCATCTGTGTCACTTACACATCTGGTATTAATTATTTGATAAGCTCGGGGCTGATTTTGTAACACAGACGTTTTGTTGTATGAATGGTGAATGTCAAGGATGACTTATTACCCTGAACACATTTAAAAGAAGGCTAATATAATTTCTTATAGGAAAGACCCAATGGCAGCTGTACCAGAGAGTCAGTTAGTGTTGTATGTGCTGCACAGACTTATTTTTCACAGCCAGAGAGAAGGAAGAATAAGGCACATGAATATCTCCATAGTGATGATATTTTTGCATCTCTGATTTTTGGATTACAAATGTAGGGACAGGAAAAACAAAGAGGAAAGGGAGGAATCTTGCTGAGTAATCTGAAAGTGGGCTCGTTTAGCTTCTGTAATGAATTCATGAGAAGATTTTAAAAGGCCACAAAATGACCCTGTGATACAGGTTGAGAGGTCATGGAGAGGGATGTCAGCATTATCATCTCATACAGCTGGATTTTCTATCCTAACAACACTATAAAGAAAAATCTCAGAACAGAAGTTATCCAATTCATTGTTTTTTGTGAATACAAAACATGTTGAATGTGGCTCATTATGGAAAATAAGAAAACTAAAACTTAAACCAAACTTCGTGAGATGGACCAGACAACATGGCATGAAAATGTTCCTTCAAAACCCAGTTTAAATTATAGGTATTTATTCCCAAGAGGAGCAATCTTTGGATTGAACAGAAGGTAGATGGAAGGCAAGTGTGGGGTCCTTACCTACCTGCAAAGCAGCGATTTATAGAAGGAAACAGTGTCCCGGACAGAAACAATCCCTTTCTGCTCCTGACTCATGTGTTCTCTGAAAACTCCAAATTGTCTATATCCTATGTTGACAATTTGTTGACAGTGTTGTTACTGAGAACACAGTTTTGTTCCTATAGAGTCACATATCATATAGGCAAACTGGGCACCTGGTTTTTGAACATAAATACATGTTTTCATGATGGTGTGGGGTCAACAAGGCAGGGTGTTAACAGCATGTCCCCATGAAATAGGCTGAAGTTCATGCTGCCTCTGAGACCTGGTGTTAGGAATACAGATGAAATCATATGCATAATTATAAAGTGAAATACAAAGGCCAACGATTGCTCTGGATCCTATTATACCTGGTGCAGCAGGGCAGACCTCCCCAGATACCTGCCATGGGGACTTTAGTGTCCCTTTGGAAATATTGTTTAGTCTTTCTGGGTTTCTATTATAACTCAGTACAATGATGGCAAATTAAGGGGCCATGTAGTTGCTGTAGAATCAGGACGTGATATTTGCATTATGAATGGAGTGAAAATTAACCCCTATTCTTTTTTTTTTTTTTTTTTTTTGAGACAGAGTTTTTTTTTTTTTTTTTTTTTTTTTGAGACAGAGTCTCACTTTGTTGCCTAGGCTAGAGTGAGTGCCGTGGCGTCAGCCTGGCTCACAGCAACCTCAATCTCCGGGGCTCAGCGATCCTCCTGCCTCAGCCTCCCGAGTAGCTGGGACTACAGGCATGCGCCACCATGCCCGGCTAATTTTTTCTATATATATTAGTTGGCCAATTAATTTCTTTGTATTTATAGTAGAGACGGGGTCTCGCTCTTGCTCAGGCTGGTTTCGAACTCCTGACCTCGAGCAATCCGCCCGCCTCGGCCTCCCAGAGAGCTAGGATTACAGGCGTGAGCCACCGCGCCCGGCCTCCCTATTCTTGATTCAACCTTTTTTTTGTAAGTCAGTTCAAGCAAGGAGGTTGATTTAATCAGAAGAAAACAATCAATATTTGTTAAGAAATCATTGATAAATATATGGATTTCAGTGAGTTTATGTGATTAAATACACACTGCAGTGCCTTTTCCGCCACTGGTACTTCATGTGTGTGAGTTTCCTTTCTCGTTCCTCTTCGTTCTCTTGGCTACATTAATACTAAAGCTTGAAGAAATGGCTCTTCATTGAATTACTTTGTATCCCACATGCCCGAAAACCAAACTTGACACATTTTTATATTTATAATGTAGCAATTAAGAATACTTAAAACAAATTGACAAGAATAATAAAACAGAATTTAGTCATTTCCCTTTCCATTTCATCACCCATATTTTATCAAGAGTTAACTTTAAAAAACACAAAAAGTTTCAGTCTCAGGACAACATCCAGATCTATTAGAATGATATAAAAATTGCTTCAAAATCTACGTCCAAAAATGGCTAGCTAAGTTATGAAAGGATTTTCAATTATACTTTTTAAAAAAAGAAATGGAAATAAAATAATCAAGACATGAATTTTTTACTTACTGTATTAGTAGATGTAAGAGATTTGATGGTACTGATGGCTGGCAGGTCTGCGGGTAGAAAGCACATTGGGCACACTGTTGATGGAGCGATAAAATGGAAAGATTTGGGAAAGTCATTTGGCCAAGATATTTATGTACCAAGATATTTATATAAAATTGCAATTGCAAAAAACCCAGGAAACTATCAAAATAGTTATCAATCAAATCAGTTAAACTGTTTTAATTCTACATTGGAATAATAATAAAGTGCTAGTAACACTGAGTTAGGCTTTATGTTGTCGGGAGAGTACCCTAAAAATACACCACAGTCCCCTTTTAAAGCCACAGTAAGATGCAGAGCATCATGTATAATATTATTTCTTTTATTTAGAAATTTGAATTATTCAAACTGCTTTTTTCTTAAAGAAAAATCAGGAAACTATTAATGGCAATTTCTTATTGGAGAGGGACATTAGAGAAAAGAGCTTTTGCTTTCTTCCTGTATTTGTGTGTATGATTTTAATAACTTGTATATATTCATGGTTTTGTTTGTAAAGTTGTCAGTAAGGTTAATTGGGTATTCAGATTATGATTCATTTTTTCCTTATTCTTACTTTACTGTATTTAAAATTTTAAAATACTTGCTATTTAAAATTTGCAACAAATTAGCCTAACCTGCCTTTTTAAGCTCCATTTCTTCCTACTCCTTCTCCTTTCCCACCACTTAAATTGCTCCTTTCAGAATGGATCATATATTTTCATTTCTCTGCATGTAAGGTTTTCTGCTGGGAATATCTACCCCCCCCTTTGTCAGTCTGGTGACTTCCCCTCTTACTGTTTCACACCAAGTCAAATATTCTAAGTCTGTTGTGCTCCTTGTATTTCCAGTGTTTAACCTAGTGCCTGGAAAATGTTGCTTGACATTCATATTTTTCCTAAATTGTTCTAAGTATTATGGTACTAATTAAAAATATGCTTAATATTAAGAGTAAGGGGAGAGTTATTTCTTTTTAGGTGATTTTATTGGTGAAGCTTAGAATAGTAGCTTGGGCTTGTATAATAAATCTGTGGTATTCTGAATTTTGAAGATGTAATAGCAATAGCATAACAATTCTCATGTCCCTATTCAGACACACTTTACAGAGCCACGTGGCTACAACCAAACCTGCATTCCTCACTGCTCCTCTGTGAAATATCTCTCCCTACTTTTAACAGGCATTGAACATGCCAGCAAGAGGTTAGGTATTTTTTTTTTAACCTGCAGGGGAGAGCGTGGCAGCAGAGCTTTGGGAGAAATAATCAAGTGCGCTGCATGAGAAATTTGCATTATTATCCAGTAGTAGATTGTTTTGCTTGCCTTGTTTTCACCAGCCCAGTCCCTTGACAATCACCTTCACACTCAGCTGCACTTCATAGCTTGTTTACCATGTTGCAATGATGTTTACTCCCTAAGTTTATTTGATGTTGGCCATTTGAAAAAATTATCATTTAAATTGGTTCCTGTAACTAATGAGCATATGTTTCATATGTGTTTCACAGGAACTGGCCGATGGAAATATCAGTGGGTGAGGACTGTTTTGCAGTGAGTCATTTCAGCCACAGTGTAATGTCAGATTTTAAACCGTTTGGGTGCCAAGGGGGCAGATCTCCTCTGGCATGAGATGACAAGCAGTAATTTTGTGAGGATGACAAGATAACTGAAACCAAAGCTGAGATAAGTATGAGCTAACTTAAAAGATATGTTGAGTGCTAAATGCTTAAAACTTGCTGTGGGACATTTTGAATCTATTGAATGAAATAATTATTCCCTTCAGACTTGTTGGAGGAAGGTTGCAGGAATGTCAGTTCCCCTCTACAGCTGCAGATTGCTGAGGCGGGTTACATTGAATGAGAGTTGCAGAATGCACTTCTCTGTAATGATGCTGTGGAGGGTGATGCTTGGTACTCACATCAATCTGATTTGCATACCCCCTCAACTTTGAGAACATGAAGTGAATCCTCTGAAAGCAAAGCAGAAAGAGAAGGGTAATTAGGAATGAGATGTAGAATCTGAAACAAAATTCTGCAGAAATAGAAAAAAAATAGCATTGAAGTGAAAAATCAATCATTTACCATCTTTTCAATGCTCTTCTGTGATACACACCTCCATATTTCCCTGGTGAATCATTTTCTCATATTTCCCTGGTGAATCACTTTCTCCCTTAGGCTCAGCTCAATGTTTTGGACATGGCTGACTTGTTCTCTGACCAGAGGTGCACAGGTAAGGAGGGCCTGGGCAATCAGAACCTTGCATTCTCTTGGCCACAATGACTGACTTTGGGGGAGGGGGACATTTGACCTAGGGAGAGCAAATGAAATGTGGGATATTCGGTAGGGATTGCTAACAGAAATGCATGCTCATTTTCCTCTAGCCCTGAACCTGGGATTATGTAGCTCTGACATTCAACCGGAATGAGAGTAAAGCAAAGACTGGGAGAAGGACCAGGTCCTGCGGCATTGTTTGAGACTCCGAATCAAGCCACAGCTGAAAGTAGATCTACCCAGGACTTCTTAACCACTTCGGTATGAGAGTCGACTGTAGTCGACAGCCACAGAGAACCCGCACAGCCTGGCGTCCACTGTGGTCAACAGCCACAGAGAACGCGCACAGCCCAGCGGCGACCGTAGCCCACGGCCACAGATGAACGCGCACAGACTGTAGCTGACAGCCATGATATGATTTTTCTAATTTTTCATTTATCAAAATAAAATTGTGAACATTTAAAAATAATGTAATGAAAACATATATGTATAGGTTACCTATTCTGATTTACAAGTAAAGCTGCCTGTACATAAAACAAGCTTTCAGTCCTTTGCAGCTTTCCTCATCACGCGAGAGCAGAACGGCGCGTGGGGAAGGCGCGCGCAGACTGCCCTGCGCACTGTGAGTGGGCTGTGGCCGGGTCCCCGCGAGCGCCCCACGGAGGGGTTAATGACAAGATCCAGCAACTTGCCTCTTTGCCTAACAGTTTAGATTGGGCTTTCTGTCACTTGCAATTAAAAGAATTCTGATGTATGATATGAACATTAAATTGTTTCATTTAAAAAAAGTATATAATTGAAATTTCATGGTCTTAAAAACATCGAACCAAGCATTTGCTAAGTTTCTTTCTGTAGCTGAATTTAGAACCTAATCCGTCTTCCATAATGTCAGTTAGCTGTAATGGAAAAGACTGTGGCTGTAAACAATATACCAGGCACCACCTTTTTCAGCTTTGAATGGTATTGCCATTACCTGTTCATATGTACATTTTAATGTCACTTGCCCTCCTTTAGCTAGAGTGAATACCACAACAGACTCTTTATTAAACAAGCACGAGTTTAACACTTTTAAAAGCCTTTTAAAGAAATGAAATGCTTTAGCTTTCTTATTTGGTCAGAAAGATCACAAAAGCTCAAATGATATCATGGGCATTTTACCACTCTGTTATTTCATTATAGATGTATTTTATTTAAATCATTCATTGGCAAATATTCATGACTACAAAATACCTGCTTCCTGATTTTATACATACTCATAGTAAATAGAATGTTCACTTAATAACAGGACGTCTTTTTTATTATAAAATGCAACTTTACAAGCATTTGCTACAATTAAAAAAACAACATTCATAAGTCTTAGCTTGGGATCTTGATTTTGAGTGATAGCTTCTAATTGTTGCTCTAGAATGACGTCTGTCCTAGATCTAGATATAGTCTTGCAAAAGAGACATGTACAATTCTCCTTCATAGAAACATTTTTACAAGAGCAAAAAACAGGAAACAAATTAAATGCCCATTTATGGGAGAAGTGATAAATAGTGGTGTATTCATAAAAGGAAAATACGATATTTATTTATACAATAATAAGAATAATTCCATGAAATGATGTAGAATATCTATGTATATATTGTGATACCATTTCTAGAAAGCTCAAAGTTTTGCAAAACTAATCAATATATTGTTTAGACACATATACACATGATAAAATTATTTTTAAAAAGTAAGGAAATGATAAAAGCAAATTCAGGATGGAAGTTATCTCCTTTTGGGCAGTAAGTTGGAGAAGGCATGGGGAGGGGTCATGTAGCTAGCCACCCACGTTGTTAGTGACACTGTAGGTCTTGGATTTGCTGGTATTTAATTTTATGCTTTGTAATTTATATACTCATATTTGTCACATATATTCTTTTGTATGTATCAAATGATACCTAATAGAAAATTTTAAAATGATTGATTAACAATGTATATGTGCAGACAGCTTTTACTATATAAATCTAATAGTTAAGGCATTATTTGCTGACATACATGCAATTATGTCTTTGAGTGTGAAAATTATAAGAAAAATTCATTCCTACCATTCAAAATATATTAAAATTCAAGATTTAATTTGGATGGAAATGGACAAGTTCTCAAATTCTGGAGTATTTCTAACACTTCTTGTGCTTCCCTTCTCATTTTTTAGCATAGATTAAACTAGTGGTGATCAAATATTGAAAATGTATATGAGAAAACTTAGTAGCCACTTTTTATTTCCAAATTTTGCTTAAACTTTGAATTTAACTTAAACAATCTCTTATTTGCAAGTATAGTTTATTTTTTGAGACAGAGTTTTGCTCTGTTGCCTGGGCTAGAATGCCGTGGCGCCAACCTAGCTCACAGCAACCTCAAACTCCTGGGCTTAAGAAATCCTCCTGCCTCAGCCTCCCAGTAGCTGAGACTACAGGCATGTGCCACCATGCCCAGCTAACTTTTTCTATATATATTTTTAGTTGTCCAGCTAATTTCTTTCTATTTTTAGTAGATATGGGGTCTCGCTCTTGCTCAGGCTGGTCTCAAACTCCTGAGCTCAAATGATCTGCCCACCTCAGCCTCTCAGAGTGCTAAGATTACAGGCATGAGCCACCACACCTAGCCTGCAAGTATAGTTTTTCCCCCTCTTTTTCTTAGGAATTATTTTCATAAGCAGGATATTACAGAGGTTGAGAACAAAGGCTTCAAATCACCAGCCAAGATTCCAATACATGCTGTGCTGCCTATTGGTTGTATGATTTTGTGGTAAGTTACTTAATCTCTTTAAACTTCACTTTTTTCATCTGTAAAATGAGGTTAATAATAATACCTACCTTGCTGAGTTGTGAAGATTAAATGAAACGAATGCCTATAATAAAAGCAAATGTCTATAATAAACTTGGCCACAGGCCTGGCAGCTAGTAAACATTCAATAGCTGTTAATTATTATAATTATTATGTCAGCAAGCATACAGTAGTAAAACTGGTGAAAATTATTCTTAAATATCAGAGAGAAGAAAAAAATCGCTTGGTGTCTCTAGATTAAGACTTACGTTTGAGTTCTAGAAAGTACAAAAAGGAAGCCAAACATCCCTATTGGAGGGTTTCCTCTTATCTTGCAACACTTGAAGTTAATGGGTGTTCCATGCAGGAAGGGAAAGGTGTTTGATAAATTGAATACAAAACCTACCTACACTTATTGTTCATAATTCAGGACACATGACAGCTTAAACAAACAAAAAAATAAACTGATAACAATAGAACTTTGAAATTCTGGGCTAGTCCTTAGAATTTACAGTATGAAAGTATTTAATGAACAAAACTCCCAACTTTGTAAACCTAGCATGTATAAGAACATATTTTTTCTCGTAACATTGTATACATTCCATTATCTGCCCCAGCAAACAGCTTATAAATAGAGTGGATTAAAACAATTCAATAGTCAAACAACAACAACAACAACAGTATAATAATGGCCTTGGTTGTGAAAAAAGATAAGTCTCAACAATTTAACAATATCCCATACTTGAAGAAATTCATTCTTTTGAAAATTTTAAAAATGTTAATTGATACATAGTAATTATACATATTAATAGGGTATATGTGATATTTTGATACATATATACAGTGTATAATGAGGGTAATGGGCATATTCATCACCTGGAACATTTATCATTTCTTTGTGTCAGGAACATTCAAAATAATCTTTTCTAGCTATTTTGAAAAATACAATAAATTATTGTTAACTACAGTCACCTTACTGTGCTTTAGAACATGAGAACTTATTTCTTCTATCTAAATATAACTTTGTAGCCATTAACCAACCTGTCCCTCAACCCCTCTCTTCCCTCTGACCTTCCTAGCTTCTGATAATTGCTATTCTAATGTCTACTTCTACAGATCAACTTTTCTAACCCCCACATATGGCCACATATGGGTGAGAATATACAGATTTTGTCTGTCTGTGCCTGGCTTATTTTATTTAACATAACATTCTCTAGGCTCATCCACGTTGTCACCAATGACAAGATTACATTTATTTAGTTTTTGGTAGAATAATATTCCATTGTGTATATGTATCACATTGTCTTTATCTATTCATTCACTAATGGCCAGTTAGTGTTATTCCATTTCTTGGCTGTTGTGACTAGTGCTGCAACAAAAATGCATATACATATACCTCTTCAACATGCTGATTTCTTTTTCTTTGGAAATATAGCCAGCAATGAGATTGCTAGATCATATGGTATTTTTATTTTTAGATTTTTTTAGGAACCTCCATACTGTTTTTCATAGTGGCTGTACTACTTTACACTCCTCCCAACAATGTATAAGAGTTCTCTTTTCTTTGCATTCTTGCCAGCATTTGTTATTTTTAAGCTTTGGTAATAACCATTTTAGCTGGGGTGAGGTAATATCTCATTGTGGTTTTGATTTACATTTCCCTGGTGATTAGTGATGTTAAACATTTTTTATATACTTGTTGGCCATTTGTATGCCTTCTTTTGAAAAAAGTCTATTCAGATCAATTGCCTATTTTTTAATCATATTTTTATTATTTGCTATTTAGTTGTTTGAGTTCTTTATATATTTCAGATATTAATCCCTTGTTAGATGGATAATTTGCACATATTTTCTTCCATCTGTAGGTTGTTGCTAAACTCTATTGATTGGATCCTTTGCTGTGCAGAAGATTTTTTGCTTAATATAATCCCATTTGTCTATTTTTGCTTCTGTTGCTTGTGCTTTGGAGGTTTGTTTTTTTTTTTCCAAAAAAAAATCTTTGCCCAGATCAATGTCTTAAAGTGTTACCCCTGTGTTTTCTTCCACTAGTTTCATAGTTACATTTAAATCTTTATTCCATTTTGAGCTTATTTTTGTGTATATTGAGATATAGGGGTCTAGTTTCATTCTTCTGCATATGAATATTAAGTTTTTCTAGCACTATTTATTGAAGAGGCTGTCCTTTCCTCAGTGTATATTCTTGGTACCTTTGTCAAAAGTTGGTTGGCTGTAAATGAGTGATTTTATTTCTGTATTCTCTATTCTGTTCCATTGATCCATTTTTCTATTTCTATGCTAGTCCCTGCTGTTTGGTTAATATAGCTTTGTAGTATATTTTGAAGTCAGTCAAATAGAGTGATGCCTCCAGCTTTTTTCTTTTTGTCCAAGATTGCTTTGGCTATTTGTGGTTCTATATGGATTTTAGGATTGTTTTTTCTCTTTCTGTGAAGAATATCATTAGTATTTTAATAGAGGAAATTCTACCCAAAGTAGTAAGAAATACGAAGTAGTAAGTAGTAGGAAATACAAAGTAGTAAGTAGATTGTTTTGGGTAGTAAAAAATTTTATGTGATGCCCAAGTGAGCCATCACATAAAATAGAAAGAC